CACATATTAACACTAATCAGTCTGAACACATAAATAGGCTATTCTATATTCCATTGCCATGCCTGTTGTACAGATAGAGGGTTCGGTGTTTATTTGTGTCTATTCCACGGAGAATCAAGATACCATGCAGGAGCACCAAGCAACAAACCAGAGGACAAAATTAAGGGGCAGAAAACTTCCTACATACCTGTATTGTTCATATGAAAACTATTATAGTTATGGATGGGTTGCTTTCCTAACCCTGCATTAGTTTATTTCTTTTGTCATTAACATAATGTAAGTAATGCATAAAATTCTGGGCTGTAAGAAATGTTAGTGCATCTCAGCATAAGTTTCTGAAATAATGTGTATAATAGTCTTTAGAAAATTTTGAATCTTTTCCCAGGATTATCTTTTAGTTCATTGTGTGGGGGTACCCCAAAGGGTAGGTCTCAGGGCAGTCGGAGTTCTCTTCCGAAAACTAGCCTAGCACGGGCCAAGTCAGTATTGTCGTGAGTGTATGTCCTGTAAGCTAGGAGAAAGAGAGTTAAGCAGCTCCGTGGTAGGGCGCAAGCTCGTCCATTAGTACTTCCACTCACTATTATGTACTCGTCATCTTTCATTCGCCATTCAGGGTGGGGTGACAGGCGTCTCTACATAACCGGTACTTCCTCTGTTTACAGGGTCTTTATCCGTTTTGCCGGGTGTCGTCCCCTCCACAAGGTCAAAACCATGCTTCCTTAAATTCTTCCTGAGCGGCCCTTATTTCTGGTATGCTCGCCCAACCATGGCCCTGTTGCAGTTTCTCCAAAGAATTTTTCGTTCTGTCGTTCCAATTTCGCACGGTGTGTCGTACCTCTGCGGGCGACGTACAACCTCTTCTTCGGTTTCTGGCAGCGGCGCTCCCCGACCAGTTTTCGGTCCCTAAGCCGTTTCTCCTTCGGCTCTGGGAACGGCAACACTGTTGTTTCTACGGAAAACTCTCTTCGTTCTGTCGTCTCAGTTTTCCTATTACCTGAGTTCGTCTCTTTACCTTCTAGACTCGCTTCTGTCTCCTCTGGGCAGGCCATCGTATTTTTCGGGCGTACATTTTCTGAAACCGCTTCGAGCGGGTTTCTTCGCGCATGGTTTCACGATAACCTCCGCATTTTCTCGCTCGTCTTTCATATTGTCGTCCATTCAGGCTAGGATTTCTTCTTCGGCGGCTTTCCCATTGACCCTAAATTCTTTCAACAGGAATTCCATAGTCTTCCGTGTCTCCATTCTCGTAGGACAACGCTGTAAATAAGTTGTAACCACTGCTGAAAATTTCAAAAATACACGAGCCGCCAAGTTCTGACACCAAATATGTCACGTGTAGAGGGCACGCATTACGAAATGACGGTTTCTACTATGGATGAAAGGATATATTAACAGCTTCGGTACACGCACTCTCTTAATTACACTGAAATTACAGCGCTAGCGCCGATTTACACACACTTCAATTCGCCGTCGCACACGCACTACAATTTTCTCTCCTCCACTAATCGTCTCCTAGCAATGGATCTACATACAGGAATTCGCACTTCAAATCAATCCAGATATTGCACATGAGATCTTCCAATACAATTCCAGTATCACTGCACCGTCACACTCATAAAAGTCATCTAAATCACCCTTCTCATTCTCAGAGGCAACGTTCTGTATTCCCTGATCCGCTTCCCTTGCTGTCGCCACTCCCAACTACTGGTAACGCAATCTCATACTGAATACTGGCTGAAGTCAAAGTCAAAGTCACATTGCGAACGACCTTCAGTCAGTCTGTCAGTCAGTCAGTAAGTCTTGGTGTCGAGCCTTATCTGGGTCATATGACTAGATATGAATTTTTACCATTTTGACAGTTACGGCCTTATTTTTATGGGACGCCCTCTTTGACAAGACGACGGAACCCTCTGGATATGCAGCCGGGCCGTAGCAGCGCGGCCTTTCTTGGGTCCCAGTCCCTTGAGACTCGCGACAATAATTTACTCTCTCAGATTTGAGGCTTCCCATTTCGTCGCCTCCTACGACGCGCAGGGTCACTGTGGAAGTATTCGACCAGGCTTCCACACGGAGAGGAACAATGGCTGAATGTTTTCAGGTGTATCTACCCACGAATTGCCTAGAAACTGACGCTCTGCTTTGAGTGACGGCACAATTTAAGGGGTGGGGTATTTACTGAGAATTGCGTTGTGACTGGATGAGTGAGAATATGTGTCGTCAGTCGCACTCCGTTAGGAGCATTCTACGAGTTCAGAGTGATATCGCCATCGACGATAAGATACAATCAGCAACTCTCAAGTTGTGCGGTTGCCTCGAGGCCTATGCGGCTTAAGAGTTCCTGCACAGAGTCAATACGCCAAAGTATTATATTTGTGATAGATCTGTGAAAAAATCATCATACCTTCGCGGAATAAATTCCATCTTGGAGAGAAGAAGGAAGTTCGTTGAACACTCCTTTCAATTTCGTTTCGAGGTTTGCATATTTTAACAATAAACCGAAAATCGTACCCAATTCCAGAGATATTTAACTTATTTAGATAGCAAGTACCGATTCAATGCAACAAGTAACATGTTAATATTAGTTATAACTTATACTTAGAACAATAAACAAAAACTTGAGGCCAGAAGAGTGGACTCCACACCACCATTATTAGTTTCTTCATGGCCATTTTTCCATACAGAAGATTCATCGAGTTACAAATATTATTGACATAGCTTTAGACGACATAAACTACTGTACAAGTGTTCTTAGATGCCAGCCAGGCCTTCGGCAGGGTGTGGCATAGTGGTCTGCTATATAAGAGCCAAACGAAGATAGCTGGAACCATGTTAGGAGCAAAAGCTCGAAATTATTGAAGAGGTCTTATAAAGAGATTAGAGATCGTCCACGTGAATAGTCTATTAATACACTTCATTATAAGTCAACAAGGCATTGTCAGACTATTTCAGCCGTACAGTGCTAGCACAAGGAACTCGTTACCATTTCAAAACCCATTTGCTAACCGCATAACCAATAGTAGCAGCACTATATGTCACATTCCTTCGTCCGTAAACTGTTAGAGCAGACGCCAGTTACAGTTTATGTAATCCAAATGTTTCTTCCCTTAATCCGCGATTTCTCTTATGAAGTTTCTGTTGCAAGAACTGATGAGAAAGCATTGTTCTTCTCTATATTGATTTTCGGTTCTTTCAGCAAACGGCGAACACTGTTCACCATGCATGACAGATAACGGCGTGTTCTCGATACGATGTCTGATTATTAATATACGGTATGTAATTTTTACCAGGTTCCATCTCAAGACGAACTACAAACAAGGAATGACGAAGACAGTTCTCTTACTACTGACTCCTTATGTGAAGGTGAAGGTAATTATTATGCCCAGATATTGCTATTCTTTTCTATCAATTCTAATGGTAGAGCAGTCAATTCCATTTTTAAGTAAAAGAAATAAATAAAAATATTTCAGGAGAGAATAGGCCCCAAATTTTACTACATTTGGAATATATTAAACTTCACAAATAGCACTGGAAACACCTTGAGATATGTTATCCTTGCCGTTGTCTAGAAAGGGCGATTTTTCTGGCTCCACTATTCCTGCACGTTATGGATGAAATATCCGAGGGATCAATGTTATTTCAGAAGACCCTCTTTGCTTTACACATATAAAAAACTTTACTAATATATATGAACGGGTGAAACAGAACAATTGTAACAGCCTACATTTTCTAAACAGTCAAAATATTTGTAGTTCAGAGTCGAATTCTCATCCCTACACCTGACAATATTAATGATAGCATAAGTACAAATAGAAAGAGAAAAGACAAATGAAAAGTTATATAGGACTCCATGAATCAAGGAGAGTACATAAGATAGAGACCAAAGGAAGGAAAAGGAATGGTTAAACAAATTGTTCTCAGATTTATTTTCCAAAGTTTTATTCCTCCTTAACACATACGAAATATTTCACACGTCACACGTGGATAGATTTATGACGATTCTTTCAATTCTAGTGGGGTGGGACTAAGTCTTTTGTACTGCGGCCACATCTGGCCTATTGTACCAGTCACAGATGATAGGTGAGGGTGATTGTGGAGCAATTGGTGGAATGAAGATTGGCAGGGGAAACCGAAGTTTTCGGAGAAAACCTGCCACAGCGCCACTTTGCCCACCACAAATCCCACTTTACCAGACGCGTGATAGAACCTGGGCCACCGCGGTGGGACGCCAGCGACAAACGGCTTGAGCTATGGCGCGGCCTAAATATCCACTTTGCTTTGCGTCGTTTATAAAACGTCAATATCCCACGTACAATATCCTTATATACGGCTCTATCCACATATCTCAAACCGTTACTATATTTTCCTACTTCCCTACTTCCTTCCTAGCGTCAAATAGGATTCTTCTGTTTTTATTTATGGCAGCGAACTTATATGCAAATGTATTTATATTCTCAGGTTAAAAAAGCAACTAATGCGTCCCATTTAATTTCAGTCACACCTTGTATTCCTGCAAATACGTAACGGCCTATAAAGAATCAAATTAGAAAATAAATGGAGATAAAACAACTCCAGTGCTTAGTCCATTTATGTAGGAAAACTTATCGGAATATTTCCACTTTTACTCAACCTCCAGTCTATTTCAGTAAACACTTTGGTGTCGGCATAACTATTTTCCCGGTACTCAAACTTCTGTGGGAAAGGTGCGCAAATTTATGAACCAGATGAATCGTGGGCTATCTGTTTGTCTATGAATAGCTGATGTATTATCTCCTTGTATCCAAATTTCATTTAGTAACAGACGAAAGAGGAATACCTTATTCATTTTTCACCACATAAATCCAATAATGAACTCTGCATTCAACTGAGCTCTGATATGGAGTCTGGGGACAGATGGTACTCTCTTTAAGTTAATATTTCAATTGAGGAATATTGACCGGACAGTAATGACGTGAGCACATATGGTGAATATTCTCCACTGTTGAGAGCTGTTGCCAAGCAAAGACTGTGATGACACTTCAGGCAGTAGAAAACTCAGCATGCATTAGCTGTAAACAATGTCAAATCAGCGATATCTTTCTAAGTACTTGTAGCTTCTGGTCGTGTTGTCATTAAAACATTCACAAATACATACCGTGTCTGTAGTCTCCCCTGCACGTGACAATATATTAATGAAAAAATCGTGCAAAGGAAAATGGAAAAGAAACAAACGAAGAAAATATTATAGGACAACATGAATTAAAAGCGAGTAAGACAACGTAGAGACGTAGGAAGCAGAAGAATCGGAAGAACCACTTTTGTATAATATTTCTCCGAACTTTTATGACTCATTTCCACTAAGGAAGGGATACAGTTGTGTCACGTGAATATGGTTACGACGGTGTTAATTTGATATATACTTTGTACAGGAACAGAAAATTGATCTGTAGGAGAGGATTCCCTTAAAGAATCATTCCATAGGATCAGTAATGCCAATATATCTACATCATCTTGGACATGAGATTCAAAATCATTGACCTAATTGCAGGTTCGAGTCATTCCCATGGCCTTCGCTACAGGGAGCAAAAAAAATATATATATATATAATTACTACTAGTAGTCTCGCTCTGTTGCAGGAATTGCCACAATAGACAGCCGGGCGAGGTTTGAAGGGCCAGAACATACCAACAGTTCACCTTTGAAACCAGGATCCAGCGTGGCCTTGAGAAATAGGCAGTGTCCAAAGGGTCGTACTATTTTGACCTATCGTATCCCCGACTTCACTAAAGTGAAGGCTAAAACGAACACATTTAATACACCGAAATCGTGTGTTAAAAACATCCAGGTGAGTGGTGCGTTCACATATTCCGCGGTTTACATTTAAGTGAGAAATCTTCCTCGCTGTTGTATCGTCTTACCCTTCCTTTCCCTGTGGCCTGCTTTTCTGCTTTACTGAATGAATTCAGAGTCTCACTTATAATTTTGTCTTCTCTATGACTGATTGATTTTTGATATTGCTGGAAGATGCACAATTATTATGAAGGTGTATATGTGTGTGATATTTGATGTTAATTTGTGAAATTCGGACACAAATTTGTATTTGTGCACTTCTAAGAATGTTCATAACTCATGTTTTGATGTAGCTACCAGTAGGTTGCTGGATACAGTGTGAAACATTATCTTCCCACTAGTTCCCCACCCTGACTAAACACCCTTTCATAATTTCGGTAGCCGAAGATACAGCTTCGAATTTGAGCAAATAGTTGTAGGTTTTCAACACATCAGGACAAATTATTGCCGTCAAATTAATTGGCTGAAACACCAATTGTTGTTGCGGATGTTCATCCAATACTTACAGGTAGAGTTTCTACAAAAAATTCATTCTTTGCATTAGTCTTTGTTTTTCCTATGCTGTTCACATATTAACACGAATCAGTCTGAACACATAAATAGGCTATTCTATATTCATTTGCCATGCCTGTTGTACAGATAGAGGGTTCGGAGTTTATTTGTGTCTATTCCACGGAGAACCAAGATACCATGCAGGAGAAGCAAGCAACAGACCAAAGGACAAAAATAAGAGGCAGAAACCTTCCTACATACCTGTATTGTTCATATGAAAAATAATATAGTTATGGATGGGTTGCTTTCCTAACCCTGCACTAGTTTATTTCTTTTGTCATTAACACAATGTAAGTAATGCGTAAAATTCTGGGCTGTAAAAAAGGTTAGTGCATCTCAGCATAAATTTCTGAAATAATGTGTTGTAACAGGCTTTAGAAAATTTTGAATCATTTCTCAGGAAAATCTTTTAGTTCCTTGTGTGGGGGTACCCCAAAGGGTAGGTCTCAGGGCAGTCGGAGTTCTCTTCCGAAAACTAGCCTAGCACGGGCCAAGTCTGTATTGTCGTGAGTGTGTATCCTGTAAGCTAGGAGAGAGAGTGTTAAGCAGCTCCGTGGTAGGGCGCAAGCTCGTTCATTAGTACTTTTTCTCACTATCATGTACTCGTCATCTTTCATTCGCCATTCATGGTGGGGTGACAGGCGTCTCTACATAACCGGTACTTCCTCTGTTTGCAGTGCCTTTATCCGTTTTGTCGGGTGTCGTCCCCTCCACAAGGTCAAAACCATGCTTCCTTAAATTCTTCCTGAGTGGCCCTTATTTCTGGTATGCTCGCTTAACCATGGCCCTGTTGCAGTTTCTCCAACGAATTTTTCCTTATGTCGTTCCAATTTCGCACGGTGTGTCTTACGTCTGCGGGCGACGTTCAACCTCTTCTTCGGTTTCTTTCAGCGGCACTCCCCGACCAGTTTTCGGGCCCTAAGCCGTTCCTTCTTCGGCTCTTGGAACGGCAACACTGTTGTTTCTACGGAAAACTCTCTTCGTTCTGTCGTCTCAGGTTCCCTATCCCCTGAGTTCGTCTCTTTACCTTGTAGACTCGCCTCTGTCTGCTCTAGGCAGGCCATCGTATTTTTCGGGCTTACATTTTCTCAAACCGCTTCGAGCGGGTTTCTTCGCGCATGGCTTTCATGACAGCCTCCGCATTTTCTCGAACGTCTTTCATATTATCGTCCATTCAGGCTAGGATTTCTTCTTCGGCGGCTTTCCCATTGACCCTAAATTCTTTCAACAGGAATTCCATAGTCTTCCGTGTCTCCATTCTTGTAGGACAACGCTGTAAAGAATTTGTAACCAATGCTGAAAAATTTAAAATACCCGAGCCGCCAAGTTCTGACACAAAATATGTCACGTGTAGGGGGCACGCATTACGAAATGATGGGTTCTACTATGGATGAAAGGATATATTAACGGCTTCGGTACACGCACTCTCTTAATTACACTGAAATTACAGCGCTAGCGCCGATTTACACACACTTCAATTCGCCGTCGCACATGCACTAGAATTTTCTTTCCTCCACTAATCGTATCCTAGCAATGGATCTACACACAGGAATTGGCACTTCAAATCAATCCAGATATTGCACATGAGATCTTCCAATACCATTCCAGTATCACTTCACCGTCACACTCATGAAAGTCTTCTAAATCACCCTTCTCATTCTCACACGCAACCTTCTGTATTTCCTGATCCGCTTCGCTTGCTGTCGCCACTCCCAACTACTGGTAACGCAATCTCATACTGAATACTGGCTGAAGTCAAAGTCAAAGTCACATTGCGAACGACCTTCAGTCAGTCTGTCAGTCAGTCAGTACGTCTTGGTGTCGAGCCTTATCTCGTTCACATGACTAGATATGAATTTTTACCATTTTGACAGTTACGGCCTTATTATTATGGGACGCCCTCTTTGACAAGACGACGGGTCCCTTTGGATATGCAGCCGGGCCGTAGCAGCGCGGCCTTTCTTGGGTCCCAGTCCCTTGAGACTCGCGACAATACTTTACTCCCTCAGATTTGAGGCTTCCCGTTTCGTCGCCTCCTACGACTCGCAGGGTCACTGTGGAAGTATTCGACCAGGTTTCCACACGGAGAGGAACAATGGCTGAATGTTGTCAGGTGTATCTACCCACGAATTGCCTAGCAACTGACGCTCTGTTTTGAGTGACGTCACATTTTAAGGGGTGGGTTATTTACTGAGACTTGCGTAGTGACTGGATGAGTGGGAATATGTGACGTCAGTCGCACCCCGTTATGAGCAGAGTGATATCGCCTACCGACGATAAGATACAATCAGCAACTCTCACGTTGCGCGGTTTCCTCGATGCCTATGCGGCTTAAGAGTTCCTGCACAGAGTCAATACGCCATAGTATTATGTTTGTGATAGACCTGTGAAAAAATCATCATACATTCGCGGAATAAATTCCATCTTGTGGAGAAGAAGGAAGTTCGTTGAACACTCCTTTCAATTTCGTTTCGAGGTTTGCATATTTTAACAATAAACAGAAAATCGTACCCAAATCCAGAGATATTTAACTTCTTTAGATAGCAAGTAAAGATTCAATGCAACAAGTTATATTTTAATATTAGTTATAACGTATACTTAGAACAATAAAGAAAAACTTGAGGCCAGAAGAGTGGATTCCACACCACCATTATTAATTTCTTCATTTCCATTTTTCCATACAGAAGATTCATCGAGTTACAAATATTATTGACGTAGCTTTAGACGACATAAACTACTGTACAAGTGTTCTTAGATGTGAGCCAGGCCTTCGGCATGGTGTGGCATAGTGGTCTGCTATATAAAACCAAAAGAAAATACCTGGAACCATGTTAGGAACAAAAGCTCGAAATTATTGAAGAGGTCTTATAAAGAGATTAGAGATCGTCCACGTGAATAGCCTATGAATGCACTTCATTATAAGTCAACAAGGAATTGTCAGACTATTTCAGCCGTACATTTCTAGCACAAGGAACTCGTTACTACTTCAAATACCATTTGCTAACCGCATAACCACTAGTAGCAGCACTATATGTCATACTCCTTCGTCCGTACACTGTTAGAGCAGACGCCAGTTACAGTTTATGTAATCCAAATTTTTCTTCCCTTAATCCGCGATTTCTCTTATGAAGATTCTGTTGCAAGAATTGATGAGAAAGCATTGTTCTTCTCTATATTGATTTTCTGTTCTTTCAGCAAACGGCGAAGACTGTTCACCATGCATGACATATAACGGCGTGTTCTCGATACGGTGTCTGATTATTAATATGCGGTATGTAATTTTTACCAGGTTCCATCTCAAGATGAACTACAAAAAGGAATGACGAAATCAGTTCTCTTACTACTGACTCCTTATGTGAAAGTGAAGGTAATTATTATGCCCAGATATTGCTATTCTTTTCTATCATTTCTAATGGTAGAGCAGTCAATTATATTTTTAAGTAAAAGAAATGAATATAAATATTTCAGGGGAGAATAGGCCCCAAATTTTACTACATTTGGAATATATTAAACTTCACAAATAGCATTGGAAACACGTTGAGATATGTTATCCTTGCCGTTGTCTAGAAAGAGCGATTTTTCTGGCTCCACTATTCCTGCACGTTATGAAGGAAATATCCGAGGGAGCAATGTTATTTCAGAAGTCCCGCTTTTCTTTACACAAAAAAAAACTTTACTAATAAACATGAACGGGTGAAACAGAAAAATTGTAAGAGCCTACATTTTCTAAACAGTCAAAATATTTGTAGTTCAGAGTCGAATTCTCATTATATTATTGTCATCCCTGCATCTGACAATATTAATGATAGCATAAGTACAAATAGAAAGAGAAAAGACAAATGAAAAGTTATATAGGACTCCATGAATGAAGGAGAGTACATAACATAGAGACCAAAGGAAGGAAAATGAATGGTTAAACAAATTGTTCTCAGATTTATTTTCCAAAATTTTACTCCTCCTTAACACATACGAAATATTTCACACGTCACATGTGGATAGATTTATGACGATTCTTTCATTTCTAGTAGGGTGGGACAAAGTCCCTTGTACTACGGCCAAATCTGACCTATTGTACCCACCGCATATAATAGGTGAAGGTTTTTGTGGAGCAATTGGTGGAATGAAGATTAGCAGGGGAAACCGAAGATCTCGGAGAAAACCTGCCACAGCGCCACTTTGCCCACCACAAATCCCACTTTACAAGACGCGTGATAGAACCTGGGCCACCGCGGTGGGACGCCAGCGACAAACGGCTTGAGCTATGGCGCGGCCTTAATATTCACTTTGCTTTGCGTCGTTTTTAAAACGTCAATATCCCATGTACATTATCCTTATATACGACTCTATCCACATATCTCAAACTGATACTATATTTTCCTACTTCCCTACTTCCTTCCTAGCGTCAAATAGGATTCTTCTGTTTTTATTTATTGCAGCGAACTTATATGCAAATGTATTAATATTCAAAGGTTAAGTAGCAACAAATGCGTCCCATTTAATTTCAGTCACAGCTTGTATTCCTGCAAATACGTAACGGCCTATAAAGAATCAAATTAGAAAATAAAAGGAGATAAAACAACTCCAGTGCTTAGTCCATTTATGTAGGAAACTTTTCGGAATATTTCCACTTTTACTCAACCTCCAGTCTATTTCTGTAAACACTTTGGTGTCGGCATAAATATTTTCGCGGGTACTCAAACAACTGTGGGAAAAGTGCGCAAATTTATGAACCAGATGAATCGTGGGC